TGTCCTGAAATAAACCCCAGACCAAAATAGCTCAGAGTCGATGGAGCCACAACAACAGGAAGCTCTCATCCAGACCTCTCTTTGAGCCGGCCCCAAGCCCCAAAAAGTCTCACTGACAGACACTTCTGATAGAATAAAGGTACAGGAGGATTCTCTACTTCAGGTGGATCATCAAGACTATAGGTCCTCCCAGCTGTCAATCATTCTGCTGATATGTCCTTGTCCAATCAGACCAGGGAGATTAGTTCAAATAATGGAGAAGGCGGGACTTTGCTAAAACCTTTAAGTGTTAGCAGCATCAGTGATCACAGGGACAGACCCAGACATTAGTGATCACAGGGACAGACCCAGACATCAGTGATCACAGGGACAGACCCAGACATCAGTGATCACAGGGACAGACCCAGACATCAGTGACTACAGGGACAGACCCAGACATCAGTGATCACAGGGACAGACCCAGACATCAGTGACTACAGGGACAGACCCAGACATCAGTGATCACAGGGACAGACCCAGACATCAGTGACACAGGGACAGACCCAGACATCAGTGATCACAGGGACAGACCCAGACATCAGTGATACAGGACAGACCCAGACATCAGTGACACAGGGACAGACCCAGACATCAGTGATCACAGGGACAGACCCAGACATCAGTGATCACAGGGACAGACCCAGACATCAGTGATCACAGGGACAGACCCAGACATCAGTGATCACAGGGACAGACCCAGACATCAGTGACTACAGGGACAGACCCAGACATCAGTGATCACAGGGACAGACCCAGACATCAGTGATCACAGGGACAGACCCAGACATCAGTGATCACAGGGACAGACCCAGACATCAGTGATCACAGGGACAGACCCAGACATCAGTGATCACAGGGACAGACCCGGACATCAGTGATCACAGGGACAGACCCAGACATCAGTGATCACAGGGACAGACCCAGACATCAGTGATCACAGGGACAGACCCAGACATCAGTGATCACAGGGACAGACCCAGACATCAGTGATCACAGGGACAGACCCAGACATCAGTGACTACAGGGACAGACCCAGACATCAGTGACTACAGGGACAGACCCAGACATCAGTGACTACAGGGACAGACCCAGACATCAGTGATCACAGGGACAGACCCAGACATCAGTGACTACAGGGACAGGCCCAGACATCAGTGACTACAGGGACAGACCCAGCCATTAGTGATCACAGGGACAGACCCAGACATCAGTGATCACAGGGACAGACCCAGACATCAGTGATCACAGGGACAGACCCAGACATCAGTGATCACAGGGACAGACCCAGACATCAGTGATCACAGGGACAGACCCAGACATCAGTGATCACAGGGACAGACCCAGACATCAGTGACTACAGGGACAGACCCAGACATCAGTGACTACAGGGACAGAGACCCAGACATCAGTGATCACAGGGACAGACCCAGACATCAGTGATCACAGGGACAGACCCAGACATCAGTGATCACAGGGACAGACCCAGACATTAGTGATCACAGGGACAGACCCAGACATCAGTGACTACAGGGACAGACCCAGACATCAGTGACTACAGGGACAGACCCAGACATCAGTGATCACAGGGACAGACCCAGACATCAGTGACTACAGGGACAGACCCAGACATCAGTGGCTACAGGGACAGACCCAGACATCAGTGACTACAGGGACAGACCCAGACATCAGTGATCACAGGGACAGACCCAGACATTAGTGATCACAGGGACAGACCCAGACATCAGTGACTACAGGGACAGACCCAGACATCAGTGACTACAACATCAGTGATCACAGGGACAGACCCGGACATCAGTGACTACAGGGACAGACCCAGACATCAGTGATCACAGGGACAGACCCAGACATCAGTGATCACAGGGACAGACCCAGACATCAGTGACTACAGGGACAGACCCAGACATCAGTGGCTACAGGGACAGACCCAGACATCAGTGACTACAGGGACAGACCCAGACATCAGTGATCACAGGGACAGACCCAGACATTAGTGATCACAGGGACAGACCCAGACATCAGTGACTACAGGGACAGACCCAGACATCAGTGACTACAACATCAGTGATCACAGGGACAGACCCGGACATCAGTGACTACAGGGACAGACCCAGACATCAGTGATCACAGGGACAGACCCAGACATCAGTGATCACAGGGACAGACCCAGACATCAGTGACTACAGGGACAGACCCAGACATCAGTGACTACAGGGACAGAGACCCAGACATCAGTGATCACAGGGACAGACCCAGACATCAGTGATCACAGGGACAGACCCAGACATCAGTGACTACAGGGACAGGCCCAGACATCAGTGACTACAGGGACAGACCCAGACATCAGTGACTACAGGGACAGACCCAGCCATTAGTGATCACAGGGACAGGCCCAGACATCAGTGATCACAGGGACAGACCCAGACATCAGTGATCACAGGGACAGACCCAGACATCAGTGATCACAGGGACAGACCCAGACATCAGTGATCACAGGGACAGACCCAGACATCAGTGATCACAGGGACAGACCCAGACATCAGTGACTACAGGGACAGACCCAGACATCAGTGACTACAGGGACAGAGACCCAGACATCAGTGATCACAGGGACAGACCCAGACATCAGTGATCACAGGGACAGACCCAGACATCAGGGATCACAGGGACAGACCCAGACATCAGGGATCACAGGGACAGACCCAGACATCAGTGACTACAGGGACAGACCCAGACATCAGTGACTACAGGGACAGACCCAGACATCAGTGACTACAGGGACAGACCCAGACATCAGTGATCACAGGGACAGACCCAGACATCAGTGATCACAGGGACAGACCCAGACATCAGTGATCACAGGGACAGAGACCCAGACATCAGTGACTACAAGGACATGCCCAGACATCAGTGACTACAGGGACAGACCCAGACATCAGTGATCACAGGGACAGACCCAGACATCAGTGATCACAGGGACAGACTCAGACATCAGTGATCACAGGGACAGACCCGGACATCAGTGACTACAGGGACAGACCCAGACATCAGTGACTACAGGGACAGACCCAGACATCAGTGACTACAGGGACAGACCCAGACATCAGTGACTACAGGGACAGACCCAGACATCAGTGACTACAGGGACAGAGACCCAGACATCAGTGACTACAGGGACAGACCCAGACATCAGTGATCACAGGGACAGACCCAGACATCAGTGATCACAGGGACAGACCCAGACATCAGTGATCACAGGGACAGACCCAGACATCAGTGATCACAGGGACAGACCCAGACATCAGTGATCACAGGGACAGACCCAGACATCAGTGACTACAGGGACAGACCCAGACATCAGTGACTACAGGGACAGACCCAGACATCAGTGATCACAGGGACAGACCCAGACATCAGTGACTACAGGGACAGATCTGTAGTCACTATATATTTATTTTTATAATGGTATATCATGCGTGTAACTATTTCCTTTATATGTATATATAATAATAATAATAATAATAATAACACATTTCTAGAAAAGTGTATAACACAATTCACAAACAAAAACTAGCACTACACATTTGTTTAAATGAAAGCAGATACAAAAATATAGAGTTATATAGAGTTTGATATGTTTCTAGCTCAGCTCCAGCAGGTGAACTGCATCAGTCATCAGCGTTTAGGACCGACATGTGTCACAGGCAGAAGATTCTGGCAACAAAAGAAGTTTCTTTATTAGTTTCAGAACTGTAGGAATGAGGAGCAACACAACACGAGACAAGTATCGCACAACATCAATAATCAACAATATTACACTTATCTGTCCTCATAGGCTGGGAAGAAGTTAGAGTTTGTAGAAGTTAGAGTTTGTAGATGTTAGAGTTTGTAGAAGTTAGGGTTTGTAGAAGTTAGAGTTTGTAGAAGTTAGAGTTTGTAGAAGTTAGAGTTTGTAGAAGTTAGAGTTTGTAGAAGTTAGAGTTTGTAGATGTTAGAGTTTGTAGATGTTAGAGTTTGTAGAAGTTAGAGTTTGTAGAAGTTAGAGTTTGTAGATGTTAGAGTTTGTAGAAGTTAGAGTTTGTAGAAGTTAGAGTTTGTAGAAGTTAGAGTTTGTAGATATTAGAGTTTGTAGAAGTTAGAGTTTGTAGAAGTTAGAGTTTGTAGATGTTAGAGTTTGTAGATGTTAGAGTTTGTAGATGTTAGAGTTTGTAGAAGTTAGAGTTTGTAGATGTTAGAGTTTGTAGAAGTTAGAGTTTGTAGAAGTTAGAGTTTGTAGAAGTTAGAGTTTGTAGAAGTTAGAGTTTGTAGAAGTTAGAGTTTGTAGAAGTTAGAGTTTGTAGAAGTTAGAGTTTGTAGAAGTTAGAGTTTGTAGATGTTAGAGTTTGTAGATGTTAGAGTTTGTAGAAGTTAGAGTTTGTAGATGTTAGAGTTTGTAGAAGTTAGAGTTTGTAGAAGTTAGAGTTTGTAGAAGTTAGAGTTTGTAGAAGTTAGAGTTTGTAGAAGTTAGAGTTTGTAGAAGTTAGAGTTTGTAGATGTTAGAGTTTGTAGAAGTTAGAGTTTGTAGAAGTTAGAGTTTGTAGATGTTAGAGTTTGTAGAAGTTAGAGTTTGTAGAAGTTAGAGTTTGTAGAAGTTAGAGTTTGTAGATGTTAGAGTTTGTAGAAGTTAGAGTTTGTAGAAGTTAGAGTTTGTAGAAGTTAGAGTTTGTAGAAGTTAGAGTTTGTAGAAGTTAGTTTGTAGATGTTAGAGTTTGTAGAAGTTAGAGTTTGTAGAAGTTAGAGTTTGTAGAAGTTAGAGTTTGTAGAAGTTAGAGTTTGTAGATGTTAGAGTTTGTAGAAGTTAGAGTTTGTAGAAGTTAGAGTTTGTAGAAGTTAGAGTTTGTAGATGTTAGAGTTTGATTGCTCCGTGTCTAACTCTGAGTCCTGTAACCTCTCCTTTGTGGCAGAGCGAGGCCGGGGTGGACCGCGACAGCCCAGAGGAGGGGACCCCGGCGAGCCCGCCCAGTAAACGCTGCGTGGGACGTCCCGGCAGGAAACGCAAACAGCTGCTTCCTGTGAGTTCTGTAATCATGGTCCAATCACGGTCCACGCTTTGTCTGATGCTGCTGCAGATTTATTCCAGAAAAATAAGAAGTGCTCATCACCGACTCAGCTTTAATCTTGCTAACGCCCTGAGGCATTTTGGCACAGATGGAATGAGCCAATCCATCTTCACCGATCAGTGACTCACGTAAACGCAGTAATCATTTATATGTCAGAAGTATTTATGTAAACGCAGTAATCATTTATATGTCAGAAGTATTTATGTAAACGCAGTAATCATTTATATGTCAGAAGTATTTATGTAAACGCAGTAATCATTTATATGTCAGAAGTATTTATGTAAACGCAGTAATCATTTATATGTCAGAAGTATTTATGTAAACGCAGTAATCATTTATATGTCAGAAGTATTTATGTAAACGCAGTAATCATTTATATGTCAGAAGTATTTATGTAAACGCAGTAATCATTTATATGTCAGAAGTATTTATGTAAACGCAGTAATCATTTATATGTCAGAAGTATTTATGTAAACGCAGTAATTATTTATATGTCAGAAGTATTTATGTAAACGCAGTAATCATTTATATGTCAGAAGTATTTATGTAAACGCAGTAATCATTTATATGTCAGAAGTATTTATGTAAACGCAGTAATCATTTATATGTCAGAAGTATTTATGTAAACGCAGTAATCATTTATATGTCAGAAGTATTTATGTAAACGCAGTAATCATTTATATGTCAGAAGTATTTATGTAAACGCAGTAATCATTTATATGTCAGAAGTATTTATGTAAACGCAGTAATCATTTATATGTCAGAAGTATTTATGTAAACGCAGTAATCATTTATATGTCAGAAGTATTTATGTAAACGCAGTAATTATTTATATGTCAGAAGTATTTATGTAAACGCAGTAATCATTTATATGTCAGAAGTATTTATGTAAACGCAGTAATCATTTATATGTCAGAAGTATTTATGTAAACGCAGTAATCATTTATATGTCAGAAGTATTTATGTAAACGCAGTAATCATTTATATGTCAGAAGTATTTATGTAAACGCAGTAATCATTTATATGTCAGAAGTATTTATGTAAACGCAGTAATCATTTATATGTCAGAAGTATTTATGTAAACGCAGTAATCATTTATATGTCAGAAGTATTTATGTTTCGCTCCAACACCTTTTAGCTCAAAATGACAACATACTCAGTACAACGAGGCCTGTGGATATAATAATAATAATAATAATAATAATTAATATACATACATTAATATACATATATGAATATGTCGAATATACTTATGAATATATGAATATACATATATACATATATGAATATACATATATGAATATACATATATGAATATACATATATGAATATACATATATGAATATATATATGAATATACATATATGAATATATTAATAAACATATATTAATATATGAATATGAATATATGAATATACATATATTGCCCACATCGCTCTTTGGGCCTCAGAGGTCACAGAACATGAGGCTTATAGTCCAGCGAGTTCTGTCTGTGAGTTTATGCACTAATTATTAAGTTTCAGTGGCTTTGGACGAAGGTTGTCACCGTATGGACCTCACGCTTATTCTGACCAAAATTCTCATGGTTTTTGGTTTTATTATCATTATTTTTACAGTAAAATTCAAGTACATTTTGTGTAATTACTGTGGAGCTTTATGACTTTGGTCCAATTTGCAGGATGAGAATGTTGTGTTGTCACTGACACATGGCAGTGACAGCGTCTGAAGTAAAACATGTCAGTATCTGTGTCTGTGGCTGTGGCGGTGTCTGTGTCTGTGGCTGTGGCTCTGTCAGTGTCTGTGTCTGTGGCTCTGTCAGTGTCTGTGTCTGTGGCTGTGGCTCTGTCAGTGTCTGTGTCTGTGGCTGTGGCTCTGTCAGTTTCTGTTTCTGTGTCTGTGTCTGAGTCGGTGTCGGTGTTGGTGTCGGTGTCTGTGGTTGTGGCTCTGTCAGTGTCAGTTTCTGTGTCGGTGTCGGTGTCGGTGTCTGTGGCTGTGGCTCTATCAGTGTCTGTTTCTGTGTCGGTGTCTGTGTCTGTGGCTGTGGCTCTGTCTGTGTCTGTGGCTGTGGCTGTGGCTGTGGCTCCGTCAGTGTCTGTGTCTGAGTCTGTGTCGGTGTCTGTGTCTGTCTGTGGCTGTGGCTCTGTCAGTGTCTGTTTCTGTGTCTGAGTCTGAGTCTGAGTCTGAGTCTGTGTCTGTGTCTGTGTCTGTGTCTTTGGCTGTGGCTGTGGCTCTGTCAGTGTCTGTTTCTGTGTCTGTGTCTGTGTCTGAGTCTGTGGCTGTGTCTGTGTCTGTGGCTGTGTCTGTGGCTGTGGCTGTGGCTCTGTGCGTTTCTGTGTCTGTGTCTGTGTCTGTGTCTGTGTCTGTGTCTGTGTCTGAGTCTGTGTCTGAGTCTGAGTCTGTGGCTGTGGCTCTGTCAGTGTCTGTTTCTGTGTCTGAGTCTGTGTCTGTGTCTGTGTCTGAGTCTGTGTCTGTGTCTGTCTGTGGCTGTGGCTCTGTCAGTGTCTGTTTCTGTGTCTGAGTCTGAGTCTGAGTCTGTGTCTGTGTCTGTGTCTGTGTCTTTGGCTGTGGCTGTGGCTCTGTCAGTGTCTGTTTCTGTGTCTGTGTCTGTGTCTGAGTCTGTGTCTGTGTCTGTGTCTGTGTCTGTGTCTGTGTCTGAGTCTGTGTCTGAGTCTGAGTCTGTGGCTGTGGCTGTGGCTGTGTCTGTTTCTGTGTCTGTGGCTGTGTCTGTGTCTGTGTCTGTGGCTGTGTCTGTGTCTGAGTCTGTGTCTGTGTCTGTGTCTGAGTCTGTGGCTGTGGCTGTGGCTGTGGCTGTGTCTGTTTCTGTGTCTGTGGCTGTGTCTGTGTCTGTGTCTGTGGCTGTGTCTGTGTCTGTGTCAGTGTCAGTGTCTGTGTCTGTGTCTGTGTCTGTGTCTGTGGCGCTGCAGGTCTGAGCACGTTATTCTATAATGCAGTGCTGTGTTTAGTAATACAGTTGTTTGTTAAGCACTGGACAATACTTCCTAATCTGAGATTAGGAACCAATGGGCTCCACAGACTCTGGAATCATGGAAATACAAACAAACACAAATGAAATTACTTAAAAACTTTAAAAAATGCGTTTTCCACGGCGGTATTCTAGTTTTATCTTAGTCCTCTTCTGCCTTTCACATTTTCTTAAAGGAATAGTTCACCGTTTTTACATACTGACATATGTTCTTACCTTAGACTAGTTAATATGTACCTGTCTGGTCTTAGTCCGTGCGCTCTGTCATGCAAACGGAGCAAAAACGGGAGCACAAACGCAGCCTCCTCTGGTCACTGTGTAGCACCAAAAGGTAGCTCCCGCTAGAAGCTACCAAACTCTTCCAAGTGTTCCCTATTAAATGTATATAGTTACGTGACGTGTTACACTGCAAAGTATAGTAACACAGAAATGTAACTGTCGATTTTCTCAGCGGATAAAACGGGTACTATATTGTGAGGCGTAGTAATCTGAGGTGCGCTACGTCCGCGCACTAACTTCTCTCCGGAGACTTCTCTCTCGCTGCTACTGTGTGTACTACAAGTCACGCTGCTTCTATTGACGGAAGTGAGCGAGAGAGAAGTCTCCGGAGAGAAGTTAGTGCGCGGACGTAGCGCTCACTACGCCTCACAATATAGTACCCGTTTTATCCGCTGAGAAAATCGACAGTTACATTTCTGTGTTACTATACTTTGCAGTGTAACACGTCACGTAACTATATACATTTAATAGGGAACACTTGGAAGAGTTTGGTAGCTTCTAGCGGGAGCTACCTTTTGGTGCTACACAGTGACCAGAGGAGGCTGCGGTTGTGCTCCCGTTTTTGCTCCGTTTGCATGACAGAGCGCACGGACTAAGACCAGACAGGTACATATTAACTAGTCTAAGGTAAGAACATATGTCAGTATGTAAAAACGGTGAACTATTCCTTTAATGACTTATACAGACATTTTTGGCTTTTGCAATTTTCTATATTTATTAGAATCACAAAGAACCAGCGTTAGCCGCTAACGGGCTACATCAGGCTCAGCGATCTACTGAGCATGTGCAAAAGAGTTCTACATAGAATTTATAAAAAGATCCCAGGACACACCAGTTCAGAACCACTGCTATTGTACAATGAAAATATAATCATCAAATATAATCTAATTATTTTCTTCCATACTAGTAAAGAGTTCTGGGAGTCTGCGTGAGGCTGGTCTAAACTTATGACAGAAGCACAACATGCAGACTGTTTTGAGGGTGAGGAACTAGGGACATGCATTATAATAGTTATATAGTTTCAAGTTTAGGTACTCCAGCTTTAATATTACTACAATCAGATAAATAAAGTAAAAACAGCCGCTGACACTATAGCAACAGCGAGGTCATGAAAGAATTTACTCTGTAGCAAGAAAAGCGTCTCCATTTCCGTGGGTTGGGGTCATTTATATAGGCTTTTCTTTGGCGTGGTATAAAGAGCATGCGGCGCCCTCCCCTCCGCCCCTCCCCTCCGCCCCTCCCCTCCCGTCCCCTCCGCCCCTCCCCTCCGCCCCTCCCCTCCCGTCCCCTCCGGCCCTCCGCCCCTCCCCTCCGCCCCTCCCCTCCGCCCCTCCCCTCCCGTCCCCTCCGGCCCTCCGCCCCTCCCCTCCGCCCCTCCCCTCCCGTCCCCTCCGGCCCTCCGCCCCTCCCCTCCGCCCCTCCCCTCCGCCCCTCCCCTCCCGTCCCCTCCGGCCCTCCGCCCCTCCGCCCCTCCCCTCCGCCCCCTCCCCTCCGCCCCTCCCCTCCGCCCCTCCGCCCCGGCCCTCCGCCCCTCCGCCCCTCCCCTCCCGTCCCCTCCGGCCCTCCGCCCCTCCGCCCCTCCCCTCCGCCCCTCCCCTCCCGTCCCCTCCGGCCCTCCGCCCCTCCCCTCCGCCCCTCCCCTCCGCCCCTCCCCTCCCGTCCCCTCCGGCCCTCCCCTCCGCCCCTCCCCTCCCGTCCCCTCCGGCCCTCCGGCCCTCCGGCCCTCCGCCCCTCCCCTCCCGTCCCCTCCGGCCCTCCGCCCCTCCGCCCCGGCCCTCCGGCTCTCCTTTATGGTTGGTGTCAGCTCCACCCTGAGCCCCACACAAAGCCTGTTCCTGGACTCTGGTCTCGGAGCCTAATGCAGACTCTGCTCTCACCCCGGGGCTTTGACTGTAAAGACTGTTTACTTTAGACTCAGTTGCACTCATGGAAGTCTGTGCCGCGCCAACGCACTAATGCTCCTTTTAACATAGGATAAAGATCTCTCAACAGAGAAATGTACATGTTGAATATGGCGTAAACAGGATCACTCAGGGTGTGCAACAAAAGTGGCTACAGCAGTGAGAGTTTACAGTCC